TTTTTTTTTTTTTTTTTTTTTTTTTTTGGGGAGAGGAAAGGAATATATTATGAAATTAGAGGATGAAGAAAAAAAGGGTTTTTTTTTTGGAATGGAAATAGTACAAGTAAAAGGACAAAGACATCTCCCACTTCATGGTTTTCACTTGTAATAGCAAAAAAGATTGTATTTTGATTTGAACCCATCTTTTAGATTCATTCCCCTTCATTATTTATTTAATGTCAACTACATTTATGTCTTTTTTTTGCATCTTATAAGTAAAAAAGGGAATATATTTGTACAATAATCGATATTTATTCCTTATTAGTTGTCACGAGCATCTTTTGAGTATAGTTCAATTGGTCGAGTATTTACAACTTTACTGGGCGAATCAAATCTTTGTTGCTTTTATGATGTGAGATCCCATATCAAATTGAGAGAGGAACGAGTGGCAACTAGGACACTGGGGTTCGAAGGGGAGTTGACTGTGAGATTCCATATCGGTTGGAGAGGAGAACGGAGCATTCCTTATAAGGGTGTGGAAATCTCTCCCTAATAGACACGTTTTAAAAACTTTGAAGGAAAGCTCAGAACGAAGCATTACTTTTATGATGTAAATGCATATTGAAGTGATGTGAGATCCCACATTGATCTGAGAGAGGAACGAGTGGCAGCAAAGACGTTGGGTCTCGAAATGGAGTGGACTGTGAGATTCCACATCAATTAGAGAGGAAAACGGAACATTTCTTATAAGGGTGTGGAAATCTCTCCATAGTAGACGCGTTTTAAAAACTTCTAAGAAAACACCCAAAGAGGATAATATCGAGCCGCGGTGGGTTTGGAGGAAAAATAGTTGCATTAACTAGAGTAATTAGGAGAGTAATAGACATAGATACTTTGGTTAAGGTACCCCACAAATGCATGGGATTGAGCTAAGTCATCACGCTTCCTTGCTTAAATTGTCCTACACATTAGGGGGCATAGAGACCCTACCCTACACAAAATGTGCCCACCAAACAAGGGCGCTCTTAGCTTCTTCTAGTGTCCCTCTCTAAGGGTATTTGATTTTCGTGGGTACCTATGCAAGTGAATATAATACAATACAATACATTAATATGATGGTTACGTGTCATGTTCTTATTCACATGTATCGTAGAATTACCCAAAGCAAAACATACTTAATAATAAAACTCTTATGACTGAGTTAGGAAATTTTTTTTGTATAGATAAGAAGTTTCATTCGGTAAATCTTTCTTAGTCGTTCTATCATCATAATTGGCCTCTGTATGTGATTTCGGTTCGTTCATAATTTTTTGAACGTTAGGGATTTAAGTCCAACCACATTATAATTTTGCAAAACGTGGTACATTCATCCTAGTTCTTAAAATTCAAATTGAAACGTGTTTGGATAATGTTTTGTTTTTATTTTTATTTTTTAATGAGAGATAATAATATAAATGGGTATTAATTAAATTAAAGGAAAATTATCTGCGACAAATGGCCGACAACTAAAAGGGGGAGCCTCATAAGGAGCCTCTCTCTCTCTCTCTCTCTCTCTCTCTCTCTCTCTATATATATATATATATATATATTATTTATTATAATTATCTTTTTATTAATTTAACTTAATCAAATTTACATTCTTTTAATTCTCCTAAATTTTCAATTTTTAATTTTTCTAAAACTTGCATTAAAAAATATAGTTAGTCATTTAATTAATTAATTAATTAAAATCATATGAACATTAAGAAATGAGCCCTAATAAAAGAAGAATAATAATTATTTTTTGGTTGGGAAATGAAGGAATTAATGAATAATATATATATATATATATATATATTGCTCTAATTGGTTGATTAAAAAAATAAAAACAATTATAATGATTCTAAATTTGTGTCATTTACTTGTCTAATCAAGTTTAACCAAATCTCTTTACCAGATTTCCACTAATCTCTTTTTTAATCAAAAGTTAGTATATTATAAAGAGTAAATCAATAGCCAAAGTAAATATATTCTCTTTTTTTTTTTCCACCAAAAAATTAATAATTTAAATTTTTTTTAAATATATCCGAAGTAAATAAAAAATATTCGGTCTAAAATCAATTTATACTCCTAAAAATATTCGGTCTAAAACCTTAAAATCTTTTGAATAACCGTATAAAAAAGAGCGCTATAGGCCAACATGTCGAGCCTCGTCTTTTCTTATTAACAAGAGATACAATAAAACAGACCATTCGGGGCCCATGATTTGGACATAATCATATCGAAACAATGATTTGTGTCGACTAAAATAACCCGAAAAAAAACCTACAATCAATTTAAAATCTGGGTCGATATACGAGCTTTGAAGCTATCTTAGGAACACTTTTGACAAGAAAAAGAAGGGATTGGAAAAGATTCTAAAGCATAAGCATTGTTGAACTGCACGGGCTGTCCGCGCATAGCAATATTTAGATGCAAAACTGTTGAATAATGATGCTGATTTGGGTTGTGAAGGCAATAAAGAAGATAGCTCAAATACTTTTTCCAACAATTATTATGTGGGCAGAGCCATATAATTGGTGTGGGCATATGCATGTGCTACCCATTTGTATGCCTTTTGAAACAGCTATGAATATGACCAAAAGCATCCATCACAAACCAAATCCCTTGTTAGTTGACATTAAAAGAGAGGATTCTAAGACTCAATACAATCAATCGACAACAAGTAGCAGCGTTCTTGTGACGCTGCTATCGTTATGAGAATCGACTTGCTTTACCTGCAGAGGGGTCTGTGCTTATGGTCAGTCAAATGTTCAACAGTTTGGACTTGTGCGCCTAATGCGTGCAATTAACAGCTATGAATATGACCAAAAGCATCCATAAAAAAATACCAAATCCCTTGTTAGTTAACAATATTAAAGAGAACATTCTAAGACTCAACACAATCAATCGAAAACAAGTAGCAGAGTTCTTGTGACACTGTTATTGTTACGAGAATCGACTTGCTTTACCTGCAGAGGGGTCTGTGCTTATAGTCTGTCGAACATTCAACGGTTCAGACTTGTGTGCCTAAATCGTGCAATTCGCCAGCTCCCACTAATAACAAATGAGATTTGTTAGCAAGGAAAGCTCAATCACTGCATACATTCATTTAACTTTAGGACACAGTAGAACAACCTATAGAACAGATCCTATTCAAGTAAGGTTGTTCATAAATTCATTGAATGATCGATATATCCTCCTCCTTGAATGGTAATGATTCCTATTCTTCTGGAAGTATGACTCCCATTACCTCCCCCCCTGAGTACCATATCTCAAGATGCAGTATGGAAAGAATTGATTAACTCATACCAGCATATCTAGGAAAGTGTAACTAGTATACTAAACAGAATAATTCGAAGCTTCCTCAATTCGAGCAGATGACAACGGGGAAAGGCCCTCACATGAAGGTCGCTTACCATAAGATTTTGTTCAACTTTTGTCCAATCTATCACGAGGCCATAAAACCAGTCAATATCTTCGTTTCTTTCTTCTTTCAAGACTTGAACTATTATATAAAATGCCTTGAAATGAGATGAAGCCTTGACAGATATAGTATAGCTAGGCACTGGAGGTGCAGCTCGAGCATATGCATCATTGGCCTGAACAATTCATAGGTCTACCATGTCAATTGCATAACAATTACAGATAAACAAACACCCTGATTAGAAAAAATGAAACTTGAGATACCTGATGAAAAATAACAGGGTAAATCTCGAAATCCCTTTACCATTCCATTCATCCTCATTTTACGAGCAACAACCTCTTAATATCATGCACAAATACATGAAATAAAGATAATATAACCAATGTATATGATTCTGTAAGATAAGACAAAGGTAAATAACTGTTTACCTCTAAACTCTGCTTAAATAGCTACAGGGAAGCCTCCAAAACACATATGGACAGAGCGTCGGAATGCTCCATGGGATCTCACTCTCCATAAAACTTTCAATACTGAGATACATACAGTTATAGAAAGAACATAAAAAGTTCTTGCAAGACAACCTAACACCTAACAGGCCAGGTGAAGAAAATTGAATCTTCAAAATCAGAACACCAAACCATACATTTCTCTCTATTTCCACCACTAAAGTATCCATCGATCCATCTATCTATTAGGAATAAAAGTTTAAGAGAATTGAAAAGGAACATATAGCACAATAGCAAACAAAACAAGTTAACTAACTCAAAGAACGTCATTAAGGTTTTATTGAAATACTAACTGCCATCTGCCATAATTTACAAGAAAAACAGTTACAACCATCAATGCTTTAACCAATGTCACAGTGCTACAAGTACTTGGGGGAAGTGTTTTAATTAGTAGTCTGGCCAGTTTCAACGCCCAGACCATATAAAACACCGGCGTATTTCTGAGTAGACCCATTGAAAAAAGTATCCCTCAACTTCCTGAAAGTACAGGCAGTAAGGAGGCTATCCGATCCCGCTTGATGGCAAACTCCAATCCTTTCCACTTCTAATAACTCTGCAAGCTTGTTCAGCCCACCATGGAAACTGTTGCAAAACTTCATCAAATGCTTGATGTCATAAACCATTGGGAAATACATATTGATCAAATCAAAGAATGCAGCCTGCGTCCCTGGTAGGCTTCGGCAAGTCAACAATTTCAGCAAGTACCCAAAATCATACCCACTGTGAAAGGTCACCCAGTAAACATTATCGTTCAAAACAATCCCAGATGACATTAGAAGCTCACCGAAGTGATTGACATCAATACCCTCTTCATTGTTCTTCTGAAAATCAATACCACACTGGCGCAAAAGCTCAATGGAATCACTAGCGAAAATATCGTTACTAATGTTGAACTCCCTGAAATTGAACTGCCAAATGCAAAACTTATCTGTTCCACAAGTTGGGAGATTCCCATTCTCATCAGAAAACGTAAGACCCAACTGAATCAACTTCAACGTGTCGACATTATCTTTGAGGGTTTGATAGTTATAATCGTTGATATTCTTAAAAGCACCCACAGGGCGAACCACCACGCCGGGGAACTCAGTATCCATCGCGATGTAATTAAATTGGTCGACAATTTCACGCATTAGAGCGAACTCTTCCTCCACGTTATGGTTCCACACCTCACGGATATGAATCGACTCACCTTTCGGCAATATGGACATACCTCGAATATCAACCGAACCAACAAAATGGTAAAACAGAAGAACCCACCGTAATCGAAAATAAAAACAAAAAATCGGGAAAAGGCCCTAGAAACCTAGGCGGGCCGTCCAGAAATACCACCACCGCAGAACAAGGAGGTTACGGAAAATCTCCTTAGATCTAAAGGATCTCGGAGAAGAGAAGGCGTGAGTGAAGCAATAAGGAGAAATCCCGAGTGAAGATAGAACCCTAGAAGATGAAAAATCGATTGAGCGAAAGGGGGAAACCCCCGAGACTGGGAAGCGGATCTGACCTTGAAAACCTAAAATTGAATGGTGGTACAGAGAGATCTTGAAGCAGGGAAGTAGTGATTTTTGAGCTTCGCCGAAGAAGAAGAAGAAGACGAAGAAGAAGAAGAAGAAGAAGAAGAAGCGTGTAGGTTTAGGAAGGAGAGGCAACGGAGCACACAAAGCTCGGCTTACACCCTCCCTAAAATTTGCTTCCTCTCGTCGGGATGAGGAATGAAAGGGAATGATTGTACGTTTACATTCTAAACGCCATCGTTTCATCGTTTCATCAATTTTGTCTTTTTCTCTCTTTTTCAAATTATTTTATTTTTATTCCCACTTAATACATAATAACAAAACATTTTTTTATAAAGGGGTAGAAATCTCTTATCAACAAACGCATTCTAAAACTAACAGCGATATATAACGGGCTAAAACGGATTATATCTTTTAGTAGTGGGCTTGAATTGTTACAAATTATATCAGAACTTGATACCAATCGGTGTGTAAACGTGACAACAAAGACGTTGGCCCCAAAAGATTGTAGTTCTTTTTTAAATGATTAATGATCCAATTTAAATATATATATATATATATATATATATATATATATATATAAATAATTTTTTTTCATAAATTATTTAAAATTTTGTGTGGCCTTAAAATTATTTTATAAATTGCGAGGGAGACAGCTTGATGGCAACGTGACAATTATTTTTTAATATTTGAAAATATATATATATATATATATATATATATATATATATAATTGTTATATCCAAAGCTTAAAGCCCATAAATGTGATTGGGCTTTGTACACATTAATTATGGGCTTCATGATAAGTCCAGCCCATAATTCATGTCGATCCACCAATCCCATATTGAATTTTTTATATTTATTATTTAATGAAAATTTTGAAGGGTAGATTCATATATTTTTTATAATGGTAATTAGTATATTTTGTAGTCATAAATTCATAATAATTACTCTAAATACATAATTTATTACCCAAATATTATTCATTAAGGTATAAAGTAAAAGTAAAAAAGTAAATGAATTTAAATTTTAAACAAAAGTGGGAACTTTAAATCAACCATGCCAATAAAGTTAATAATAACTGTTTGAAAATCACGAGTTTTTTACTTTTTTTTAGACAATATTTTATTTCTTCAAGAAAAAATAAATAAAACCCTAAAGTAAGATTATTTCAAAGTAATTCAAATGGTAATGCTCGTTTGACTTGTTTGACGGGAGGAACCAGGTATCAGTGGACAATGAATCTTTGGCTCTCGAATGAGAACATGATCAATTTGAAGGGAAACAGATTCTCGATCCCAAACTGCATTCTATTTGAAGTAATTTCTTTTTTTCATGATCTCGTGTGAGATCCCACATCGGTTGGAGAGGGGAACGAAACATTCCTGATAAAGGTGTAGAAATCTCTCCCTAGTACACATGTTTTAAACTGGGAACGAAACATTCCTTATAAGGGTGTAGAAATCTCTCTCTAGTAGACACGTTTTAAACTGTGAGGCTTCATAACAAACAATATTTCCTAGTGGTTAGCTTGGATTGTTATAAATGGCATCGGAGCAAGGCACCGAGCAATGTGCTAATGAGGATGTTAGGTCTCGTAGGGGTGGATCGTGAAATCCCACATTGGTTGGAGAGAGGGACAGAACATATAAGGGTGTGGAAACCCCTCCCTAGTTGACGCGTTTTATAACCATGAGACCAGCAATAATACGTAGCGGACAATATCTACCAGCGGTAGACTTGGGCTTTTACATCTCGTGCCTCGTGTCATGCCGCCTTTTATCTCTTTCTAAATCATCTCGTGTATATGAAAACATGTTAGATCTGCCTAGGCTGCCGATCTACGTGAAAATTCCTGGAGATCAATGGATATAAATGCTGTTCTTCAAATCGTATTCTATGGACATATGATTAATGCGCATAAGCATGTGCAACCCATTCCAGGGCCTGTCTCTCTCCCTCTAACAAAGGATTAGGTACAATTATTTTCAGGATAGGAAGCCACCCAACATGCCATAATAATATCACCATAAAATGTGGATCCAACAACAATTACCAATAACATACACAATATCAGATCCAAATCCAAATCCCTTTTGGGAAGGTAAAATTAAACATCTATTACACCTCAGAATTGCAGGTAACAAGAGATTGAACAACGAATCAAGACCTTTTCAGTAGCCCTTTTCAGGTCAATTAACTAGCTGCTTAGGCTCAGGTTGTCAGTAAATATCAGATAGAACAAGTATGAACAGGTTTGGATGTATATTTTCTCAGATCTCAAAACTGATTAACATTATTGAGTATATGCAACTAAAACAAGGTTCCATGTCTCTTCAGAATTGCAGAAAATGAAATGAATCTCATCAGATGTGGCTATGAATGGAAAATTTCAAACTACAGATTAAAGGATGCCTAACCCGATGTGCTGAGGATTCGATCTAGCTATGCATTGATAACATGGGTCAGCCCTGTTGGTGGTAACACCTACAGATTAATCGACACCCTGTAAATTCTCCGAGCCCGAGCTTCGTCTTGGTTTCATGCCTGAATAAAGTCCAAAAAGAAAATGAACCAATGTTATTTCATGCGGCTATAAGACAAGGTAAGGAACAGCATACCTCTAAACTCTGCAACAATACCAGCAATCAGAAACATTAGCTACAAGGATACCTCAAAACACATGGATGAACAGTCTGCAAATGTTCTACTACAAGACAATCAAGAACAGATCAATCAAACCCAGAAACCAAAATTGTGTCTATTATGACAGCCTGATGGATCCTATCAGATTCAAGTCTAATTCAACAATGGAAACAGGTGAAGACTCAACAAAGAAACGTCATTAAGATTTTATTGAAACACTAAACTGCCATAATTTACAAGAAACCACAAGCTGCAAAAAACAGTCGAAGGTTTCTATTACAGAGCAGGAAAGCGGGAAATAGTTACAATCATCAATGCTTTAGCCAAATTGTACAAAAGTAACTAACAGACTCACACTTCTACAAATACTTGGTAATTCTCTTCAATTAGTTCTAGTAGTACGCTATTCATCTTCGACACCGAGACCATATAAAACACCTGCGTATTTCTGCGTAGAACCATTGAAAAAGGTGCCCCTCAACTTCCTAAAAGTACAAGCAGTAAGCAGACTATCTGATCCTGCTTGATGACAAACTCCAATCCTCTCCACTTCTAGTAATTCTGCAAGTTTGTTCAACCCACCATGTAAACTGTTGCAGAACTTCATCAAATGCTTGATATCATAGAGCACTGGAAAATAGATCTTGATGAGCTCAAAAAACCCGGCCTGTGTTTCGGGTAAGGCTCGGCAAGTCAGCAATTTCAGCAAGTAACCAAAATCATACCCACTGTGGAACGTAACCCAGATAACATCATTGTTCAACACAACCCCAGAAGACATTAGAAGCTCACCAAATCGATTAACATCGATACCCTCTTCGTTGTTCTTCTGAAAATCAATACCACACTGGCGCAGAAGTTCAATGGAATCACTAGCAAAAATATCATTAATAGTATTGAACTCACGGAAATTGAACTGCCAAATACAAAACTTATCCGTTCCACAAGTTGGAAGATTTCCATTCTCATCAGAAAACGTAAGACCCAATTGAATCAACTTCAACGTATCAACATTACTCTTGAGAGTTTGGTAGTTGTAGTCGTTGATATTCTTGAAAGCACCAAGCGGTCGAAGCACAACGCCGGGGAACTCAGTGTCCATGGCTATGTAATTAAACTCATCAACAATTTCACGGATAAGCGCAAACTCCTCTTCTAAATTGGCGTCCCAGACCTCACGGATTTGAATCGAATCGCCTTTGGGTAAAATCGACATTCCTCCAAGGTCAACTTGACCAAGAAAGAAAAGAAAGCGGAAGAAGCCCTAAGTGAGAAAAAGGTCGCGAACAGAGCTCGAGATCTCAGAAACGGAAGATTGGCGGAGGAAAACCGGCGCCGGAGTACAGGAATCTTGATAGATCTGGAAGATTGGTAGCGGAAAAAGGGTAGAAGAGAAAGAATCGAGTAAGAACCCTAGAAATGAAGTGATTTAAGCAAAGAAAGGAAGTGGGTGAACAGATCTGAGCTTGAAATTGAGAATTGAAAGGGTTTAATGGCGGATCTAGATGAAGAACACAGTAGATTTAGAGGCTGGGAGAGATGAAGAGAGGAAGCGTGCAGGTCAACGAAGAAGATGAAGAAGGCGGTGGTGGAGCACTCAGACACAGGGTTTGAGAGCTCTCGGCTAAGACCCTTCCCTAAAACATTGCTCTATGACGGTGATAGACGAAGGGTGAAGTGTGTTTAACCTTTTTCAAAACGACGCCGTTCCATTCTGTATTTGCGTACGACGCCGTTTCTTTCTTCAAATTTCAATATTCAATATTCAATATTGGCGTCTTTCCCTCCTAATCTCGCATCTCAAATGTTGGAGGTTAATTTTCAATTTTACCCCAAAATATATATATATATATATATTTTTTTTTTTTTTTTTTTTTTTTTTTTTTTTTTTTTTTTTTTTTTTTTTTTTTTTTTTTTTTTTTTTTTTTTTTTTTTTTTTTTTTTTTTTTTTTTTNAGGAGGATGTGTGGAGGCTTGAAGCTAGGTTAAGAAGATGAGGGATTAGTGGTTTTGGACCTTTTTTTTTTTTTTTTTTTTTTTTTTTTATTAGTGTCATTAATAAGCTACCTAGTTTATTCTCGACCGTTTCATTTATTGTTCTAACAAATACTCGTGTAAATGATGATACATTTAAATTCAAAGCTTGGTTTTTCTTACTGCTCGTAGTTTTGATAAAACGATTGGTTGTCAGACAATTCGGTGTTCTTGATGTCTACCTTGGTTTTTTCATTCTCTATCCCGAGAAAATTCTCCATTTTATTTTTGCTAATCAGGTTTACCACGTGTAATTTTTTAAACGGTTTATGATTACTTTTTAAAAAATAATTATTTTAAAATTTTCATTTTTCAATATAATCTCTATTTAAAAATTTATAAAAAAATATCATAATAATAAATCAATAATGGTCGGTAAACATAATTTCTAAAAATTTAAATTTTAATATTACAATTACAATGTGTTGAAAATATATTTATATTAAACAGAGTCGAAGATGGAAACGAGAAATATAATCTCGTCCCCGACCTCATTTATCTAACGA